TACAACAGAAGGCAAAATTATAAAGACCACTGCTAAGCCAGAAGCAAATGTGATAAAGACCACCACTAAACCAGACAACAAAATAGTAAAATCTACCTGTACAACAGAAGGCAAAATTATTAAGGCTACTGCTAAACCAGACAACAAAGTAATAAAATCTACCTGTACAACAGAAGACAAAATTATAAAGACCACTGCTAAACCAGAAGCAAATGTGATAAAGACCACCGCTAAACCAGACAGCAAAGTAGTAAAATCTACTTGTACGATAGTAGGCAAAATTATTAAGACTACTGCTGAACCAGACAACAAAGTAATAAAATCTACCTGTACAACAGAAGGCAAAATTATAAAGACCACTGCTAAGCCAGAAGCAAATGTGATAAAGACCACCACTAAACCAGACAGCAAAGTAGTAAAATCTACTTGTACAACAGAAGGCAAAATTATTAAGACTACTGCTAAACCAGACAATAAAGTAATAAAATCTACCTGTACAACAGAAGGCAAAATTATAAAGACCACTGCTAAACCAGAAGAAAATATGATAAAGACCACTGCTAAACCAGACAGCAAAGTAATAAAATCTACCTGTACAACAGAAGGCAAAATTATAAAGACCACCGCTAAACCAGAAAACAAAGTAATAAAATCTACCTGTACAACAGAAGACAAAATTATAAAGACCACCGCTAAACCAGAAGAAAATGTGATAAAGACCACTGCTAAACCAGACGATAAAGTAATAAAAGCCACCTGCACAACAGAAGGCAAAATTATAAAGACCACCGCTAAACCAGAAGAAAGTGTAATAAAGACCGTTGCTAAGCCAGACAACAAAGTAATAAAAGCCACCTGCACAACAGAAGGCAAAATAATAAAGACCACTGCTAGATCAGAAGAAAAGGCAGCAACTACCTGTAGAGAAGACATGGAAATAAGCGCTACTGCTAGACCTAAAAATAAACCCACATGAAAAATAACAATAACAAACGGTTATTGAGATGAAGACTTTTAATATAACTTATGAACAGTTTCCTAATTTAATTCAACAAATTGTTTAATATATATTAATTAATAGAATATAATATTAATAGAATATAATATTTATGATGCTGATTTTATTGTAATGTTTAAGAATGGACTTATGATTTCTTGAACAATGTTACATATATGCATAATGACTTTTTATAAAAATTCTGAAAAACTGTGTACTGAAGATTGCAAATTTCTGAGATAATATTTTGTGATTCAGAAATAAAAATTGGCATTTAGATTTGTTCACTAATATTAATTGATATTTATGAAGCTAAGAGCAATACTTAATAAAGCTGCTTGAGCGAATAAATCTAATCAAATGAATCGAATTAATTGTTAATATAAATAACTATTTTATTTACCCGTAAAACAACAACTTGTAAGTACCATAAATTTCCGTGTATGAGGCTCCCTTGAAAATAGATCCACTATATAATACCTAGATCTTTTACTATATTGGTCAAAAATTTGATAAAATATAAAGACCCAGTATATAAATTTAAAAACCATGACATGTAAATTTTAAAAGACCATGGTATGATTAAGGATGGCGCCGAAAACATTTTGGCATACGGAAATACTTTTGGTAAATTCGACTTACCGAAAGTACAAATCAGAAAAGTCAAAAGTCCTACCAAAGCAAAAGTCTTACCAAAGTCACAAGTCAAATTCTATTTTCACTAGGTAAAAGTCATCTGACATGTGATTTCGACATGTCACATTGGGGTATTCGGTCAACTATATAAATTAAAACTTATATGCAGTACATATATAGATTATTTTTTTTTTTTGTAGTGATCAGTATAATGATCGGGATTATTTATCTCTTTTTATATATTTCAATAAGGTAGCTGCGCGACATTGTCGCGCTAAACCAAAAACGGGCGAATATTAACTTAATTAAGAAAATGTTGACAACTCCAATACAGAATAGTTATGAGTTATAGTTTTGAATTCAATTAAATAAATATCGATATACAACTAAATACAGCATAACTACAATTTAAACAAACAAAAGATTTTATAAAATTTTTATATGCATATGTATAGAGTGTAAAACACCTCTTTAAAAACATAGTATAACAATCCACTACAATTTTCTAATGCAATACATAACGCAAAAACAGATATTAAAAATAGGGTATTTCACACCCTATGCTGTACCGCTCATAATAATCTAAAATTTTCTTGGCAGATGATAATTATACAGACTAATGTGGATAAGAAGCTAAATGAGATGTGAACAGCTCATATTAAATACTTAGACCAATTGGACCAATGAATAATCACTAAACTTAGGCTAAGGGTGCTCTCAATGTGATTATAAAGCTATTACAGCTATCGATATCATGCATAAGAACTACGATTAATTCTGTAATTGAAGCGATCCATACTGGCTTCAAACTTTTTTTTTATCGCAATAATGAACCTACTTACCGGTTAAACTACTTTCCACCAATTAAAAATTGAGTTCCGACCTATAATTAATGTGCTTGAGAGAACTTTAAATCATATGAATAAAAATTGAAACGAGAAATTAATTAATACATATATTGATTGATAATGTTCAATTGATTAAATAAGAATATACTTAATTGAAATATCATGTGAAAACCTGATATTATATGACAGAGTTTTGTAGACCAATTTCAACCCATTAGAGCTGTTAACACTTGCGTGGCTTCTTTAAATACTATATTGCTTTAAAAATCATTATTACTGTAGCAACATAATAATATTTAATGCAAAGCTTATCGATATTACTTACCACAACTTGAGCCATAGCCAAGTCATGCTCTAGCCATAACTCAAGTCGTGGCTTCAATAATTATGGTTTAATCTGGATTCAGTTGCAGCTGATGCTAGTCATAGTTAAAAGCTGCAACACCATAGCTTAAGTTGCAACTTAAAACCAGCTTCGTTAACGGCTCTGAAGACTATCTGGTATTTGGCTAGTTCAATTCCGAAGGACAATAATAAAAAAAAAAGCATTGATCGTCATTCACTTTAATTGAGACAAAAACCTGTTAAAAGCAATAGAAAATACCGATACTAACAAATTTGGGGGATCGCTAAAGCCTTGTACCCACGTGATTTTGAAGTTCTTAATTATAATTAGGGTTAGGGTTAGTT